GCCACTCGGGGGCGAATCCTGGCAGAGAGCTACGGCGCGGCTCCCGTTCCCACGTTACCGAGATTTATCGGAGGGTAAAGAGGACGCAGCCCAAGCCATGGCCTCCGCATCGGCAGGCGGCAGCGGCTTTTCGCGACTCGGCCATTCACCAGCCACGGCGAACCGGGGACCGGAAGCGGAGAAAGCGAAACCGACCGTCCCGCCCTCGCTCAGTGACGTCGTTTGACCTCAATGGTTAGTGGAAGTGTCGCTCATGGATAAACGGAACTTATAACAGCGAGGGACTGTCTCGGTGTCGCGAGAGTTCCTGTAAGGTTTGGTGACTCATGAACTAGAGCAGGGCTAGGCAACCTCGTCTCATTTATGACTCATGGACTATGCTGGCTCAGGAATTCTGGGAGTTGAAGTCCATGAGTCATAAAAGAGACGAGGTTGCCCAGCCCTGAACTATAGAGATGGGAAATCGAGCTGCGGAGGGAGGTCCCTGATTTTAACCTCCTCGCCGGGCGGATGACGTAGCAAACCACAAAGATGCCTCAGATTATAGATCAGGGGTAGTCAACCTTGGCTCTTTTATGACTCGNTGCTGGCTCAGGAATTCTGGGAGTTGAAGTCCACGAGTCATAAAAGAGCCAAGGTTGACTACCCCTGTTATAGATGGAGAACCATGAAAAGTGATGGGTGCTGATGTGGCTCCCATGTTGGACGTTGTTGCACGTGACGGATTTTTCTTTCTTTTTTTTTTTTACAGGATTCTATCTCTTGTTAGAGACCCGAAGCTTAATAAAAGAACTTGGTAAAATGTCTGAATCTAGACATGCAAAGCAATGACAGCTGTGGGAGAAAATTCAGAATTCATACTGTATAAGAGTAAGAAACATAAATTAGCAATATAAACGGAGAAGAAAACTTACTGAAATCACACCCACTGTAGAGTTATCCTCTACGCCAGGGGTTTCCAACCTTGGCAACTTTAAGACTTGTGGACTTCAACTCCCAGAATTCCCTAGCCAGCATTGCTGGCTGAGGAATTCTGAGAGTTGAAGTCCACAAGTCTTAAACTTGCCAAAGTTGGAGATCCCTGCTCTTTGCTGAGCATGTAACATTGGTGACTTTTACCGCTGACATGAAAAGTCACCCATCTTTCCCAGCTTGGTGCTCTTCAGTTATGTATCTCCAGTTATGTGTCAGGGACTATGGGAATTGGAGTTGAGATTGGAGAAATATGTCCTAGCTATGAAGGTTTCAACAGGAGTAGGGAACGAGGTAGATTGTATTGGTCCACTTAATTCAAAACTACATAGCCTTTGGAAGCTCTGTTGTTCATTCCTGAGTTGGTCCTGCTTTTCTGTTCCAAAACCTTATTACATAAAATGAATAAAATTCCTGACTCAGGAATTCTGGGAGTTGAAGTCCATGGGTCATAAAAGACCGAGGTTGCCTACCTCTGCTCTAGTCCTATAGAAAAAGATAGAAATATGAATAATAATGCAGCCAACAATAAAACAAAGATTAAGAAGAAAAGCAAATCTGAGAAACATTGGGGGAAAGGGTTCTGGGTCATAGAGGATCTTGGAAACCTTTAAAATAGAGCATGTCTTGCAGCCAAAAGATTAGATAATAAGTGAGTCACAATTTTCTGTAAATCCTCTGTGCAATAACTATGTCATGCCAGATGTGGAAAATAGGTCTGTGTTGGACTGAGAAAATGGGGAATTTTCTTCCTTTAAGGGATTAAAAATAAAGAAGAGGTTGCAGATGTCATTTGTCTCTCTCAGGCATGGATTTGGTGGCTAAAAACTGTATGTTTGTTTATTTTCTATAATTTAAAGTGGCTATTTGTTGGTGCATATGGTTATTTCAATTTATCATCAAATAATGGCTGCTAATAATAAAATCGAGGAGCTGAAGTATTTCTATCACAAGATCATCTGGAAAAAAAATGAAAAGGGAAATACAGAAAGTAAAGAAATTTACCAAAACAGNGTCGCTCCCATGTAACACCGCTGCTGCGCGAGCTACATTGGCTGCCGGTGGCCTTCCGGGTGCGCTTCAAGGTGTTGACCATCATCTTTAAAGCGCTCCATGGCATCGGACCTGGATATCTCCGAGACCGCCTCCTGCCGCAGATTACCCCCCATCGACCTGTACGCTCCCACAGAGTGGGTCTCCTCAGGGTGCCGTCAGCCAGACAGTGCCGGCTGGCGACCCCAAGGGGGAGGGCCTTCTCTGTGGGAGCTCCCACCCTCTGGAATGAACTACCCCCAGAGATCAGGGTGATCCCTGATCTCCCTTCCGCCGCGCCCTTAAGAAATGGTTCTTCCAGCTTGCGGGACTGGCCTAGGGGAAACTTTTAGAGGGGGTTTTAATTATAATTTTAATTAGACCAATTACTAATATTTCCCTTTTAATTAACTTTTTAATCTGTAGTGTGATATTTTTGTATTTTATCCGGTTGTTAGCCGCCCTGAGTCCGCAAGGAGAAGGGCGGGATATAAATTTAAAAAATAAAATAAATAAATAAATAAAAATATTTCAGAATGTGTTTCTTCAGCAAAGGTACTGTGATGTGTCTGAATCCCTCCTCTGTAAGGATGATGTTCCATCCCACAGATAGTGAGAGCTGCTGCCTGCTTGTCTTCCTGTATACTGAGTGAAATATTAAACTACCTGTGCTAATATCCATCAATGCATCTTGTAGGAAATAATACTCCCAATAGCTTGGGAATTCTCAATATTGCTAATAGTACAGAATCTCTTAAACACACATTTCAAAAGAAAGGGATTTAAAAATAAAATCATTTGAATTCTATATACGATCATTTCTTGTTTCCCCCCGAGAGTCTTTATCATAAGAGATCAAAATGTTCATTATTATTATTATTATTTCAACCTTCCCTGGAACCTCCAGTAGATCAGGTTGGGGGACGAGTCCGTCCTTTGGGATATGGTAAAGTCTGTTTACCGACAGGTCAGAGAAGAATTTTTGAAGGTCACAACCTCGTAAGTGGTGAAGAGGAGGCAGATTGTTCCATTGGTTATTTGTTCTGTCAGGAAGTTTCTCCTTAGTTTTAGGTTGCTTCTCTCCTTGATTAGTTTCCATCCGTTGCTTCTTGTTCTGCCTTCAGGCGCCTTGGAAAATAGCTTGACTCCCTCTTCTTTGTGGCAGCCCGAGATATTGGAACACTGCTATCATGTCCCCCCTCGTCCTTCTCTTCATTAAACTAGACATACCCAATTCCAGCAGCCTTTCCTTATTTGCTTTAGCCTCCAGTCCCCTAATCATCTTTGTTGTTCTTCTCTGTACTCTTTCTAGAGTTTCAACATCTTTTTTACATCGTGGTGACCAAAACTGGATGCAGTATTCCAAGTGTGGCCTTACCAAGGCATTGTAAAGTGGTATTAATACTTCACGTGATCTTGATTCTATCCCTGTTAATGCAGCCCAGCACTGTGTTGGCCTTTTTGGCAGCTGCAGCACACTGCTGGCTCATATTTAAGTGATTGTCCACTAGGACTCCGAGGTCCTAGTGGACAATCTTTTTTCTTTTGATTCAAACTCAACTTCCAGTTGCCTTCATAGAAATAGGCATATAATTTTCTTGGCAACAATATAGAAATGGTTTGCTGATGTCACTTTGTAGATATTTTTCCCAATCTAAATTGCAACTCCTAGATTCCTGATTATCATCCTAACCTGGCCTAATTCTGCTCGCCTTTAAGCTGAGCAGCTAGGTGCTGCCCCCTAGCTGGGCACCACAGCATCTTACTGTAACCTAAATCCCATTAGTATAAAGAAGCACGCGAAATGTAATCTGTGTATGATTATGTTCCATGCAAAATGAGATAATATATGTCACTGACACCAATAATATGCATACTGTATTGTTGCCAAAAACTATTTTTGCTACATATACTTTTCTATTAAATTCTTTGTGGAAAAATCCACATACTTGTAATCAGCTGGAAAATAAAGATAGTATAATAGAAGTGTGCAAGTCAAACCAAGCCAGGTGGGAAGTTTCCCATTTGAAAATGCACTAATAGAGTTAATTTGCATGGGACTGAGAAAACATCGACATATTGCCTAGAGAACAGGCTTGTATATTTGACCTTTTATTGCTTTTTGTAATTTTATGCCATTGGAATAACTTTAGTGTAAGGCAATATTATTGAACAGCTGAAGTTGATACAGAAAGATGTAGAGCATGACGTAAATTAAAATTAAAGTCAGCACCACAAAAGTGAGTGTCCTTGGTTCATTAATTGCTGATGCAAATACCTTCAGAGTTATAAGCTATAGTAGAAATAAGTCTTTCATCCCACTAAACTAAATCTGAGGAAGTGCTAAAGCCAAAAATGTATGATTTTACAGTTTTTGAGTTTGGTGAAAGATAAGTCACTACTTTTCACATGAAGAAAGCAATATTGCTATCAGATTCTATCAATTTCCACTATATAGTCATTGTAGTTAGAAATTTGTCCTTCTTGTATTTTTCCATGTTACTGATTATTTATATTAACTAGATGAAACATTGATGGTACATCTTTCTGTTTCAGTTTAGAAATGCTGATTATCTTGAGCAATGTTATAATTGATTTAAACTATATTTAATATAGTTTAAATATAGTTTATTTAAACTAAACAGAACCCAGAAAATTAAAAAAAATATATAGTTATCATACATACAATGCTGGACCAACCCTGGGTCCATGGACTTTCAACTATTGTTACCAATGTTTTCTTTTTAAAACTACATTTAAACATTCTTAGGTATTTTGGCACTAAAAAAAAAGTTCAATTATGAAATTTAAATTATTCCTTTGGACATCTACAGAAAATATATTGATATAAACAGAGTACAATTTATGAGTACTTTCCCTGCAATTGCCCATGAAATACAGCTGTCGTAACTCTCCCAGGCATGACAGTTTATTGATTTCCATCAAAAAATAATATAACTGGAAGCACTACTTAGCAATTAAAACATTCTAAACAGTTTAATCCAAACATATGTTTATTGTAATAAAGAGAAGCCCAACATCACAGTGACAAATGTATTTCATTGTAAAGTTATCAAGTGAAAATGTATCCAAGGTAAAAACAAACAGCTTTGCATTCATTTGTACATACAGTTCAATACACTAAAACATTATTTTTCCATATTTTTTAAATATTAGAAGAGGATTTTCTGGTTATGTTCCCAAATAGTTCAACCATAATTTTATGCAAAATGAAATTCATTCTAATTCAAAAACTACCACAAAATAGCTTTGCATGTTCTCATTGGTCTGTCCGTCATTTGAAATCATTATTCTTTTGTAACCATACTCATTTGAATATATATTAGTCCATGTCACATTCATTTCTTCTTTTTTCCTTTGTTTTTTTTGCCTCCTTCTCCTTGCTGTAGACTTGGGTCACTGCTTCCCATTTTCTGTGTCCTAGTTTTCAGTTTGGGAATTGTTTCTGCTGCATATAACATCACTGCCTTACCTAAACAGAGAGAAAAGAACAAGAAAGTAATTCATCAAGCAGAGGGTAACCAGGAATTATCCACCATTTGCGCTCCATAATATGCAGCTTTGGCTTCCATCTATAAATGAACAAAAGGAACAAACCAGCCTTGTGCATATTTATAACACTCACGTGTTGGAAACTCAGGCTGACATAGATTACCATCTTCCTGCTTCAGCTGAATGCGAACTCTACCCCTATATTGCGCATCACGGTTCCATTCCCTGGGATACATTTTGTTTTTCTAGTACATAAAGAAAGTTCAGAACATTACAAGTTAAGCATAAGCAAAATAAAAATGCTTACAATTATAAATCTACTTTGGGAGCAAGAACCGTTAAACTATTAAATTAACAGTCCTAATAGTTACACAGGAATAACAAATATAGGGCTAAACCAGGGGTCTTCGAACTTGGCCCTTTCATGACTTGTGGACTTCAACTCCCAGAATTCCTCAGCCAGCGTGCCTGGCTGAGGAATTCTGGGAGTTGAAGTCCACAAGTCATAAAAGGGCCACGTTTGAAGACCTCTGGGCTAAACTGTTTATTTTAATAGTCAAATATATTACCTTAGTAATTCAAAGGAAAACTCTGTAAGAAAGGCTACAATTTATTGTAACAATTTGAAAGTTATATTATTAAAGTTTTTTGGGGGAGTGTATGCCAAGGATTAGATTTCAAAGATGGATTTCCCAGCTCATTATCTTAATTATTATAGTATACCAGCATAAACATTTTAGATTTATATCTCTCCAGAGTGTTGTTAACACTCTATTGGAAGAATGTGTTCTGTGATCCTCAACCTCCATTTATTACAGTGTCCTCTGTAAGGTCTGCTGCTTTCATTATTCTAAGGAAGGGAAGGACTTGTGTCACAACACTGCTTCCGTGAGTTTGACTCTTCTTACTCCCTTCCCCTTTGTCACCAATTGTGCAATTATAGTTTTACATAAGAGTATAGTAGGAAATAACAAAAAAAAATACCTCCAAAAGCACATTAAGACCAACTGCTGCACAAACATCTTGGATTTCTGTAGATGTAGGATTTTCAATAGCCTACCAAAACAAAACAAAACAAAACAAAAAAACCCAAATATTTTTTAGCGTTTATGATTTCTGGCCACCAATTAAGCTGTCACCCACAGATCAATTGTTATTAGCTAATGCTACAGAATTTGGAGCCTTCAGCGTTTTATTGCAACAGCATTAAAATGATTATGTGCATCTTACCCATTTATAGGAAAAAGAAAAAAACAATTCCTAAAATATATTGAGGTACAATTGACTAAAACAACAAAAATCAATTAACACAATAAAATGGGAAATATTTAGAGACATATGGTATAGCCCATAGAATGGATAGATATAAATTAATTTGAGCATGCACAGCTTTAAATTTTGCAAGCCATATGCCAGCTTTAAAAATTGGCACTGACAACCCTTGTCAATTTGTTACCCGATACCAAAAGAAAAAAAAAAGCAAAGAAATTTTCATGTAACAAAAATGTTAGTTAACCATGGAGTAATTATAGCTTGCAACTGAACTTTTTAATATTCCTAGATAGATAAATCATTTAAGTACTTTAATTTTAAACTACATTAAAACAACCAAGTCTTTTTATACATGCAAGACATAAATATGTAGTGGCAAAACTAACATTATGCACTAATGAATATATACAATGCATTTTTTTACTTAAAGCAAATACAGATACTACATCTTAGTATCTGATTAATAAGGCTTCATGAAATAACAGATCACACAAATACATTTTATTCTACATAAGTTTCCAAATTATATTTCTGATGCACAGATTTTCTTTCCTCCCTTCACCCACAATTACTTTGTCAAGAGGTATTCTTCTTCCTTCTGCTATTGTCTTCTTGTTATTTATATAGGCTGGATATACACAGATAAACCTAAGGCAAGAAATAAGAATTGAAAGCTGATAGGACACATAAAAGAATACTTATTTCTTCACATTCAAATATTTTTCCAAATAGAACATATGCAGCTCCTAAAGTAAAGAAATCCACTATGGCTAAGAACTGTATCAGTGAAAGGGCTTATTTTTATATTTTTAAAGTTTAACTAGACAACCTACAAGGGGTCGTCATTTCAAAGACATTGCCTTACCTAAACATAAAACTAGGGGCAAAAAAGCAATGGGAACAGGAGCAACTTTTGATTTCCATCCGGTTTGATGTAGAATTGGTCTGCCTAGCTACCAGAGGGCTAGGGTGGGATCAGTCTAAAGAACTTCCAGGCAACAGTGCAGCACTGCAAGAGCACTGAAGTGACCACATATTTGCCAAATTTCAATCCTATGGGAAGCATGAGTCCCAGGTTTTGGATGCATTCTACAAGTTAGCCCATTTGAGGTACCTTGATTCAAAAACTGCTGCCCTATGATGCACTGTTTGGCCCAGTTAAAGGTTACAGACACAAAGGTTTTAATAACATATAGATAAAACTGAACTGGGTAATAAAACATTTATCTATTTATAATCCACTTTTATTACTTTTTTTATAAATAACTCAAGGTGACAAACATATCTAATACTCCTTCCACCTCCTATTTTCTTCGCAAGAAGAAGAGGATTTGGCTGAGAGAAAGAGACTGGTCCAAAGTCACCTAGTCGGTTTTCATGCCTAAGGCAAGATTCAGGGTCTCCTGGTTTCTAGCTTGGTGCCTTAATCACTAGCCCAAACTGACTCTCCAAAACATTTTATGTTTTATGAGTGAATTCAATGTTGCCAAGTGCCAATCCTTACAAAGAAGTATCAGCAGATTTTAAGAATTCCTAAAGCTTGCCGATGCACCCCAAATAAATAAGTAAATGATAAATAAAAGATTCTGTCCCACCCCAATCCCTTTAAAGTAGGAAATTAAGCTGACTTCTATGCATGAACACCACCATATGGAATGTTTGAGAAAAGAAAAACTAAAACACTTGACAGGAAGAATATGAAACTGAATGGCTAATTTGCTATCTTTTTTATTTCCAGATTCTGTGTCTAATATTTTAAATTAAATAATATAGTAGCTTATCACCACTGCAGATGTAAACCACTTTTTTTATAGAAATCATTTCTCTTCCCTCAATCAAGGGATGCACAAGTATAGCCTTCAACTGGTGGGCTGGAACCAGAGCGAGACCCATCATAGGTTACAAGAGCAGCATTACCACCAACCAAGGATATGTCTAAAGAGAAGAGGCTCCCAAAATGCACGCGCATCTGCGGAGTGGGCATGAATGGGCACCTGCAGGAAAAGCACCTACAAAGAGGGCATGGATATCATACCATTATGACAGTGTCATACAAATTATGTGAATACACAACTAATGCAACTTATATAACACACACACACACACAATTATATAACATATAACATTTGTATGTGACATCAGGCTTCTTATGGATGCCTATTCCACTCCATTGTGTGCTGCCAAAAAACTGGATCTCAAAAAACCTAGACAATGATTGTCTTAAGGAAGGCCTCTGTTAACTCATGTAAATTCATTGTTCAAACAAAGTAGGATGCTTGTTTTATTAACGTTTAATCAGAGTGGTTAAGATTTTGGACTAGGACAGTGGTTCTCAACCTTTTTAATGCCGCGACCCCAACCGGTCGTAAGTCGAGGACTAAACCGGTCATAAGTCAAGGACTACCCAACCGGTCGTAAATCGAGGACTTTCCCTGCCTGGGAACACCGCGCATGCGTGGTTCCGCCCCCTGCGCCAGCCGAGGTGTAGCTGGCAAGCGGCAGAGACGGAGCAGGCCGACCACCAGCTGGCCCAGCCCAAGGGAGGTAAGGCACCCGCCGGAAAAGGGGGGAAAAATGGCGGATAAAAAAAATGGCGGACAGCCTTGCTTGGCGACCCCAGTGAAATGGTTGATCGGCCCCAAATGGGGTCCCGACCCACAGGTTGAGAACCACTGGACTAGGAGCTGAAAAACAAGGGTGTAGTCCACCCTTACACAAGAAATTCAGCGGGTGACTATGGGGCCGGTCAGGCTGCTGTTGGTAGGAAAAAAAGCAGGAAAAAAAGTTCTTCGTAGTCCTCTTTATGCTCTTGAAGAAAAGGGGGGGGGGGGTTGCATGGAATGAATGAATGAATGAAATTGAATGAAATAAGTCTCTAAGCACGTTGCAGCCTTTATTCTACTGCCCTTCCTGATTCAGTTACGAAAAACAGTGTGTGTGTGTGGGGGGGAAGCACGCAGGTCCCTCTCTCTCAGCTCCGCAGAGCAGGGAGCACGAAACGAGGCGCATTCCCACGACACGCAAAGCCAACGGGCTCCTTTATGGAAGCCACCGGATCGCCCAGTCAAGCTGCGGAAAACCGAGCCCAAGAAAAACGGGACAGCTGCAACCGTCGTCCCGGCCTTGCAGCAGGTTGCCTCTCTTGAGCTTCGGCCACTCTCGGCCGTCGCGTCCGGCCCTTCCCTACAGCCGCCCGAGCCGAGGGGAAACCCAGGCGCTCCCGGGTTAACTAAACCGCGGTTCACACGACGCGCGAGTCTGCGACGATTTGGCAATTCGCCACTCGGGGGCGAATCCTGGTAGAGAGCTACGGCGCGGCTCCCGTTCCCACGTTACCGAGATTTATCGGAGGGTAAAGAGGACGCAGCCCAAGCCATGGCCTCCGCATCGGCAGGCGGCAGCGGCTTTTCGCGACTCGGCCATTCACCAGCCACGGCGAACCGGGGACCGGAAGCGGAGAAAGCGAAACCGACCGTCCCGCCCTCGCTCAATGACGTCGTTTGACCTCAATGGTTAGTGGAAGTGTCGCTCATGGATAAACGGAACTTATAACAGTGAGGGATTATCTCGGTGTCGCGAGGGTTCCTGTAAGATTTGGTGACTCATGAACTAGAGCAGGGCTAGGCAACCCCGTCTCATTTATGACTCATGGACTATGCTGACTCAGGAATTCTGGGAGTTGAAGTCCATGAGTCATAAAAGAGACGAGGTTGCCCAGCCCTGAACTATAGAGATGGGAAATCGAGCTGCGGAGGGAGGTCCCTGATTTTAACCTCCTCGCCGGGCGGATGACGTAGCAAACCACAAAGATGCCTCAGATTATAGATCAGGGGTAGTCAACCTTGGCTCTTTTATGACTCG